TATAGATCTTCGATTAATTCAGATTGTACAATTAGAGCAGCAGATTCTGCAAGGTCGAAATTTGGACCTTTATCAGCGTTCTCAATACCAGAATCTGATTCGGAAGAGGAGGTAAGAAGTGATTTAAAGGCAGCAATAGCACTACCTCCAGAAACGAGAAAACCAGCAGAAGACACACCAAGGCTTACAATAGAATTTAAATTCACAACATTTTTCTTTAAAAATAAGAGAGTACACCCAATAACTATACATAAAATACATAAACAGGTGGTATATAAGTCTAATTTCCAGACTCTTTCCATAAGTTCAAGGGCTCGATTATATTGGCTTTTCAAAGTTATTAGAGCCATCTGAGCTTCTCTCTTCTTGACATTGATATCCATTTCCTTATCAACTTTCGCACCACATTTCTCTTCTTAATTAACATTTGACATCTTAATTTTTTTGATTTAAATTTGAATTTTCTGCAGAGTTGGCCTGATTTTCTTGCAATCAGATTTTACAAAAGGCTGATTGATTTAAAATTTAAAGTCTGTTAAATTTTGAAATTTAAATTCGCATTTTAAAGTAGGTATATACATATGCAAGTAAAGATAACATCAATGCCACAGTGTTGTTATGACATTAAGCCACTGACTATGCCTCCTAGGACTGATCTAAATTATAATAAAAAGCTATTGTATTTAGTAATTTGAAAGGCTTATTATTACAAAATTAAAGTTGAATACTAATATAAAAAAGAATTTGATTGTATTTGGTTATTATTTATTTTTTTGCGATTTTATAAATTAAATTTTTTTTTTATCTGACATAAAAGTGCATAAATGAAAGGTTTAAATAACCCTATCGACTTCTAATAAGACTTAAAGGAGATCAAATTTTTTTAATAAAGTTTTTCAAATGTCTCACAGTTTATACAAATTTGAATATTTCTTATAAAAACTTATAAAACGGAATTAAGAAATAGAAAAGAATGATATTTCCGGCATCACTTCATTTTTAGTTATTAATTCAAACTGTCAGAATATTAGGCCAACATTACGAATCGTGTTAGATAAAATTCAAAGATCAATATAATGTAACAAAAATAAAATCTCTTGAATATTTTTTCTTTATGATATTTAATTAATCAAAAGTGATGTGAAAATATGAGATCATGAATAAATAATGTGGAGGAAAGAAGAATTCGGCTCTTTAAGTTATCTTCATTCGAAAAAGGTAGAAATAAGTATAAAAAAAAGTGTCATTTAGTTAAGAATGCGTTGAACAATCGGTACGATTAAAGAAACGACATATTGTTTGCTTTGCTTAAAGTAATTATGTGGTATTCTTATTTTTTATAAATTTGAATTTATAAGTTTTTAAATTTAACAGTCAAGTCTTACGTGCCATTTTAAAAAATATCTGTATTGCGGAAATACTTATTTGTGTGAGTGATACAAACCCAAAAAAAGAAATTCAACGCAAAAAAAATAAACCAAGTTCGTGAAATTAAAGTTAGAGGCGATAAAATAAATAATCACTTCCTATATATAAATGTCTTTTTCGTCAATTTTAATTAGCCTTTCTCTTTCAAAATCTGAGTTTTTTTTATAACTATATACGTATTCAAGCTTCTTCGGGTTTTATGCCATTTTCTTTTTGCTTACGAATATCATTTAAAATTCGATCCTCGCATTTCCGTTTTTTACTTTCATTTACACAGCATATGTACTCAAACATGTTTATTTATTAATTGAAGCACGATATTTGTTGCATACTTCGGCGAGATTAACAAAATTTTGTAAGATGTGTGTTCTATTTTACGATATTCGAAGAAAAATAAAAAATTTCAACATAAATTGTTATTATCCTTAATCTTATTAATCAAATGTCATTATTGTATTAATAATTAATTTTAATGTCGGCAAATAAATTTAGGATTCGTTTATTGCGATTTGCAAAATTCTGGATTCCATTGAAATTGTGATGAAAACAAGCGTTTCTATTACATCAAAAAGTCATTTGAGATTGAGTTCTAATTAATTATTTTAAAGTTTGTAAGGCTTATTCTCAAAAGATCGCTTGACGCTCTTAAATATAATAGAATTATTTTATTGTGCCATAGTCGATTTTAATTATGGTGCAGTAAATATTTCTATTACGATTAAGAGCATCAATCTATCTTTTGAAAATAAGACCTGAACACAATCTCTAAAATAATTAATCAGAACTCAATCTCAAAGGTTTTTTTGATGCAGTAGAAACGCTATTTTCGTCACAATTATAATCACAATCGTGGAGTGCTCAAACGATAATGTAACGGTAACTGATCTTGGTGATACAAGATGGCACTAAATTAACAAATGTATTATTTACATTATTGTTATTAGTTGCATTATCCCCTATTACTGTATTAGAGATTGCTATTTCCACATGGATATGTAGATCTTAGCCAGAACTAGGGTTGGAAATAGTAATTCCCCTATAATTACAGAATTATACATTTCAATCTCAAATGACATAACAGCGCTAAATGTATTATTTATATTGTTATTTGCATTATTATAATAATTAATGTATTATTTGCATTATTATAATAATTAATGTATTATTTGCATTATTATTTGCATTATTCAATCGTACTCTTCTACAATCACTCCTACATAATACAGTAATAACAAATCCTAAATAATCACTTTAAATTTTGAAAAACTCATTAATAAACTTATAAAAAAATATTTTTATATAAGCACATCATAGTAAAATTTTTATAATCACATATTTTTTGTATAAAACAAACTGAGTGATTGAAGAGGTCAACTGTATTATATTAGTTAAAGAGAAAGCATTCATTTCAATCTTAAATGATGTTACAGTACTTCTATAATCATGCCGTTTTTTTACACAAAAAAGATGTGATTATATAAAGTTTTTTCAACGAATATATTGCCAACAGTTTTTCAAAAAATGGTGCTTATAAGGAGGGTGTGATTATATTGGAGGTGACTTTAGAGGAGGATGGCTGTATAATATTGTGATACAAAATTCGACCTAAAGTTATATAAACTGTCAAACTTTTAAAAGTTTAAAATGCGATTTTACAATTCTTACAATTTAATAACAATGATTAAACTGACTCTAAATTTATTTTTAATCATTCTTTTTTCTTGCCTCTTGACATCATCCATTGTTGTTGATGGTTTTCATAAACCACCAAAACCACATAAACCACATGAACCATGCACCATCGCTCCTGTTCCCACTCCCACTCCCACTCCCACTCTCATTACTGTTACTGTAACCACAACCGTAGAAACTTATATGGAATGTGTCGAGACGCCCCCTCCACATCTTGATTGCCCCAATCCTCCGAGAATTAATGGAAATATCGCTTCTCTTACTTGTACTGAAACTGACACGATTTGCACTTTTACTCCCGTACCTTAGTAATAAAAATTTCGATTGTTGCAAAAAATTATTTTGTAATTCTTGTACTTGTGAATATGATCTGATAGAGTTTTTGGTAAAATAGTTGTTTCTATGTATCATGATAAAAAGCCTATAAGTAATTGATGATGTTAATATACTAATTATAATGTAATAATTATTAAGAAATTTTTCATATCTTAATTATAAACATGTATATTAAAAGTGAAAAATGAGTTACTCTGATCTTTAGTTACTCGTTTAATTATTATTTACAAAAGAAATAAACGTAGCACTTTACTAAAATGAAAATACATACTTTAAGTTTAATATGTAGCTTTTGGGCCCCTAAAATGACGCATATTAAATTCACTATCAGATAAACGAGTTATTAGTTGAGTATATAGTTGTTAGGCGAAACTGTTTTTCGCAAATGGCGAAACCTTTGGCGAATGGCGAAACCCCTGGCGAATGGCGAAACCCCAGAGAAAGACGAAGTTCAAGCTCTCAGCAAGCTTAATTCTCTAAGGCTTTGGAAAAGACTGAGTCATGTTGGAGAATGAAATATTGTATGTATCTATTAAGCATTGCATGCATGCATATGATTCATATAAAATATATGTACAATGAATCATATGCACGCATGCATGCTTAATAGTGTTGGGTTCGGAATGCTGCGACTCAGTCGCTCCACATTCCAAGATTTCGTGCAATGTATGGTAGTGTTGGGTTCGGAAGATTGCGACTCTGTCGCTCCACAATTCAATATCTCGCGTAACGTACGATAAGTAACCTTTTCGAAAGAGGGTGTTAGATTTGGCTGGTGGGTGATTAAGGCTTTCGGTTACTTTGGGTCAACTAATGCAAGTCGGGTAAGTCACGTGTACAAGAACTTAAACAAACGACGATATTTATTGGGGGGTTTACAGGGTTTATAACGGTATTAGTGTTAGTGTTTATTAGGTACAATGTAGTGTATCGGAATTTATTATTTAATAAAGCAAACGAAGCGTACCGCTCCTAAGTGCCACTTTGGCCTTTATTTATATTACTGAATTCATTGCTTACAAATGCAACTTCGCACTTATTATTACTTTAAGACTACCTAATTTTATTTACAATTAATTGTTTAATTTTTCCAGTAATATTTTATTTCTGCAAGGAGGTGTAATTTATCCTTACATTCTCCTACACTACCCCTTTGCATCTGAAATACTGTTCTCGATTATAAATGTAACTTATTGCATTTCATGTATTTTTCATGTGATCGATCATGATATTTTGATATCACAGTAGGGTAACCTATTTGAAAGAGGGTATTAGATTTGACTGGTGGGTAATTAAAGCTTTCAGTTACTTGGATTCAATGAAGGTCAATGTGTAAGTCATATGATCAAGAACTTGAACAAATGATAATATTTATAAGGGTTTCCAGGGTTTATACTAGGTATAGTGTTAGGGTTTTATTATGAACAATACAATGTATTGGGACTTGTTTATTAATAAAGCAAATGAGACATGCTTTTTTTCTCTAAGAGCCATTTTGGTTTTTATTTATATTATCTTTCTAACTATGACTTATTCAATTATATTAATCTTGCTTCTTTGTTTTCTTTATTTAATTCAATCTTTTTAATTTATTCATCTAAACCCTTATACTTAATAAATTCCCCTTCACTATTAAATTCCTTTTCCTTGATATATTGAATTAATTTGGGATATCCATATCAAGAAATTGATTACTATACCTGCTCTCACATGAGGCCCTGGCATTTTAATTTTATTATGTTATTGGGTCATACAATAAATACATACAATATTTTATTCTTCAATATGACTCAGTCTTTTCTAAAATCTTAGAGAATTAAACTTGATGAAAGCTTGAACTTCATCTATCTTTGGGGGTTTTACCATTCATCAGAGAATTCACTATTTGGTAAGGGTTTCATCATTTGTCTTAGTTTCACCAGTTTCA